ATGAAGGCACTACATTTTGTTTATACACTCACCAATTGATGGACATTTGCTCCCCTCCATTTTTTGGCTGCTACAAATCACATGCTAAAGTCATTTATCTACAAGTTTTGTGTTCACCTGTATTTTCAATTCTCTTGGGGGTAATAACTAGGAATAAAGTTGCAGGGTTATGTGATAACTGCACATTTACCATTTTGAGGAATTTCCAGACTGTTTCACAAAGGAGCTGCACCATTTTACTTTTCCACCAGCAATATATAAGACTTCCAAGTTTTCCACATCCATGACAAACTTGATTGTCCATATTTTTATATAGCTAACCTAGTGGGTGTAAAGTGGTATTTCATTGCCTTTTTGATTTCTATTCCCTTTTCTAATTAGGCTGATCATCTTTTCATGTGTTTCTTGGCAATTCATATTATCTTCTTGGCATAATATCTATTCAAATACTATACCTATTTTAAGTTAGGCTATTTTTCTTTTTATTTTTGAGTTGTAACAGTTCTGTATATATTCTAAGTGCAAGCTTCTGATCAGATGTATGATTTGCAATTTTTTATCTCACATTATGAGAGTTGTTTTCATTATCTAGATAGTGTCTTTTAAAGCAAAAAGTTTTTTATTTTAAGTTTTAAATTTTAGGGCCCACCAAACAACAATGATAGCTGCAACCAAAAAAAAAATCGTCAAGCATTATGGAGGGTACCTGTGGTCCCAGCTACTTGGGAGGCTGAGGCAGGAGACTCAGTTGAGCCCAGGCATTGGAGGTTGCTATGAGCTGTGATGCTACAGCACTCTACAGCTTGAGGCTCTGTCTCAAAAAAAAAAAAAAAAAGGAAGTTTTAAATTTTAGTGCCCTTTATCTTTTTTTCTTCTTTTGTTGCCTGGGCTTTTGGTGTTGCATTTAAGAAATGATTGCTTAATGTAATGTCACAAAGATTTAGACATAATTTTAAGAAGGAAATAAAAAATTATAAGACTTTTATGTTTTCTTATAAGAAAACTTTTATAGGTTTTATGGCTTTAATTCTTACATTTAGTGCTTTACTTTATCTTGAGTTAATTTTATATATAATGTGAGGTGGAGGTCCAATTTAATTATTTTACATGTGGATATCTAGGTGCATCAACATCATTTTTTGAAAAAGGCATTCTTTTTCCACTAAATTATCTTGGAATCTTTAAATATCACCTGGCCATAGTATAGCAACTTTATTTTTAGTGACCTGAAATTAAAAACAGCCCAATGTCCATCAAGAAAAAGAAAAAAGAAAAAAAAACAAAAACATAAACTGTGGCATGTCCATACACTGAGTAGTACACAGCAATGACAATGATAATGAACACGTGTTTCTATGTATAATATAATGGATAGATATCACAGACATTGTATTGAACAGACATTGTACTGATCCAGAAAAAGAAGAATATGTCTTGTATGTTTCCAATTTATATAGTTAAAGGAGAGGTAAAACTAATCATTGTGGTGGTTACTAATTGCTGTGATAGAAGCCTGCTGAGGTAGTGAAAAGGTTTTGATTCTGGGTGGTGTTTACATGGGTGTACACGTATGTACACCCATGTAAAAATGCAACAATTCACTTAATCTTTCTGCTACCTCCTATGTATATGTTGTACTTTAATAAAAAACAAACACATAAAAAAGCCCAGCATGTGATCCACATGAGTTTTTAGAGCACTTCTCTATTACCTTATCTGATGCCCAAACTACTCCTAGAAGTTAGTTACACAGGATAGATATTCCTGAGGAAAGTTGGGCAAGTTGGAGGCAGTACTTCAGGGTGCTTCTTGCAAACACTATAGTGTAGGGCTTTGGCAGAAGCAGAAATCCATCATGTGCTAATGTTCCAGAATATGGAGAAAAGAGGTACCTGACCACTTACTTCTTCTCCCTATCCCTTACTAATGTAGAGATAAAAAGCAAACATAATCCCATTTCAGATTCAAGACAAAAGAATTGTCTTACCTGAGGTTGTAAAGGTGAGAGGGATTATTCTGTGGAAACTAAGCTGCTATACAATAAAGTCTTTAATAATATCCAAAATTATTTGTAAATATTATTTTATTTCCTTTGTGCTTCCATTTCAAAGGCAATTATCTTACAAAAGTTTCCAAACCTTTTTCTTTCTTTCTTTCTTTTTTTTTTTTTTAATTAAATCATAGCTGTGTACATTAATACTGTCATGGGGTACAGTGTGCTGTTTCTATATACAATTTGAAATACTTTCATCAAACTGGTTAACATAGCCTTCATGTCATTTTCCCAGATACTGTGTTAAGACATTTATATTTTACACTTAGAAAGATTCACATGTACACTTATAGGATGGACCATAGGCGTGATCCCACCAATCACCCTCCCTCCACCTATCCTCCGCCCTCCTCTCCACCCTCTCCCCTTTTTCAACTGAGTTTATCCTATGCAGAAATACTTTGATGAACATCCAACAAATGAAAACAATATTCCATTTAGCCAAGGTGGCTTAGATACTGAGGGTATTGTAGGGAATTCTGTTCTTAAGCTTCAAGTCACTAGTGGCTGCAGTTTATGAGGAAATACAGTGGCACCAAGTCTTAAATATGGTCTTCATGCTCCAGCTGGGGTGAATCAATTATGAAGCTTAAGTGCCTTTCACTTTTCTTCCCCAATAATTCCCAAGAGTGACAAGTGTGTTCTCATTAGTACTGTTTCAACTCTTCTGAAGGAGAGTGCGGAAAAGGACTCTCCTAAACTAGAGAAGAATGGGAAAGAAACCTAGTAATTACCAAGTGTCTCATATGTATTAAGACCTATACTAGGTTCTTTGACATATATTATCATATTTGATTCTCTAAATTAATTTCACAAATCCTCCTACCTGTATAAGGTAAGTATTATTAAAAATATACATTTTGCAGATGAGGAAAATAATTTTGAGAAAGGTAAAATAATTTATTTAAAGACACAACTAGTAAGTTATGGAGTTGAGATTCCATCCCAAGTCTATATGCCCCTAAACTTAGGCTTTTGCTCTTTCCTTAATATGAATTTACTATAATTATTTGAAAAGTCATTAATTGAAAGAGAAATAATCTAGGTGGCTAGACTGGTTAACCATGGTTCAGGAAACTGAACATGAAGTGGTCTCTAGGTAATTTTATAGATCTGCCAACTTAACCAGTAGTTTGGAGTATTCAGCCACATCCTATGTAACACTTGAGAAAAGTATCATTTGCAGTATGGGACTCCTTAGAGTGGCTCTGATTTTCTCAAAACCTAATTATTTTCCCTTACTGTCTCTTAAAATAAAAAAAGCTGTTACATCTACTATAGGTCATTGCTGACCACAGGGAAAGACTTGATATGAGATCTGACTTTGTCCCTGGATAATGATATTTAACCCTTATTAGGATGTTTTGCCCCATATGATGCACTGATTTTTTCCAAATGGTTCAGAGTCTGTGATTTTGGTCTTTTTAATAAATGCAATTTGTTAAGCTTCTAATGAAAGGTAATTTAACTTGTATACTTTGGATAAGCAGTGTGACCAAAAAAAGAGAGAAAAAGAAGCCCTTTGTTTACTTCTTGATAGGGAGATCTGCCAATGAGGTTACCTTGCCTAGGGAGAGGTTTCAAAGCCATGGTTAGAGGGGACATGTTAGGATTCATGCCACATAAACATAATGTTTATTATGTGGTTAAGGCTGTGGAAACCAAAAAAAAAAAAAAAAAAAAAAAGGTTTGGTTTCAGAGTCTCAAAGGCCAGAAGCAGCTTCCATGGAGATTTTAGATGCCTGTATCAAGAGGACTCTCAAAGGTACACAGGCACACTCTCCTCTCTGATGTGAAGGGCACATTGAGAACTTTCAGTACTTTGAAAGACCACTTGAAATTTGTCCTGGGATGATAACATGAGTGAATAAAACAACCTCACCCTGCCTTTCTCTTTTAGCAGGACAAACCCTGTCCTTCAGTGTGATAGACCTTAGCTCATTTATTCCTCCTAAGCGCTATATAAGGTAAGTGAGGAATATACTGTCCCTTTTTCTCAGATTAAGTAACTGAGGCCAGTAAAAATAAACTTATTCATCAAATATCATAGGTTGAAAGGGAAAGAGCCAGGTAGGGTAACCAGCCATCTCAGTCTTCTGGAACTTCCCCAGTGTTAGCACTGAAAGTCCCATTCCCTGGAAAATCTTTTGCTCCTGCATGACATGATTTTTGGCTACCCTATAGCCAGTATTAGAATACACATCTCTCAGTTCTCAGACTGATGCTAGTGCTAGTGCCTTATGCCATCTGCCTTCCAAGGACTGTTATCTGAGTAATTTTATTCTTCTCTATACCTTAGTGTGTCAAAATATTTCTACATGCTGGGTCATCCTGCCACTCATTCTTCCTAGGATAGAAGCAATAGAAGCCAACAGAAGCAAAGACACTGTTAGCAGAGGAAAACCACGTTTCAGCTTTCAAATCCTCAAAATGAAGACAATAATAATCCTTATACTACTTACTTTATAGGGATGTTCCATAGATCAAATAATAAATGTAAAAGTGCTGTCTAAACTAATAAAATCTAGTCACATATGAGGTACTGTGGTTATTTTATACCTCCTGGAAGGAACCAACTCCTTGTTTTACAATTCCCTTTACCAGTTCAGTTCTTGATGGAGCTCCTGTGAATTTAATCAAGTTCTTTGGTTTCTGTGCCTCAGCTTCTTCATCTGTAAATTCAAGTAAATAACAATCCCAGATATGGTTGTTTTGAGAATCAAATGAGTTATTACATGCAAAACATTTTATAAGAGTTCCTGGAACATGGACAGTACTATATGAACATTAACCATTTGGGGTTGGCTTACTTAGCCCCTTTAAGTCAGAGCCAAAGACTAGATTAAAGGGACCCAGAAGCCAAGTGATATGAAAGCTATTTCTTACCTTTAAATCCCTTCCTCCTAGTTCCCTGGTTCTTGTATTCTATACCCACAGCCTTCCCACCATGGATTGCTGAGAAAATGAGTACTGGAACCAATAAGGATGTTGTGTGATCTGCCAACAGTGTGGTCCTAGACAGGAGCTCTCCAAGGTAAGTCCTCCTAATCAGTATGCTTGCTTTTTGTACATCTTGAGAGTAAGCCTAGCAACTAAAAGGGGATAAGAGTAGGGGAATCAGGCCCACCTATCACTGATTCGGTTTAGTAAGTAAAACAGGGTATCCAAAGAGTATGCAGTAGTAGTGAAGATCTCAGCAAGAAATCAGCCTAACAGGGGAAGGGGAAGGGTCAAAGGAAGTTTCCAAAAGATAGCAAGATAACCCAAGAGGAGATGTGGAATGCAGAGGTCCAGGAAGACTACTCAGCATTAGAGAGACATGTCAATTAATGCAAGGCCCACTCACTTGGGGTTCACAAGCCAGATATCAGGTCTTAGGACTGGGAAACAGTCCTCTGTCTTAGAAGGAATGGGATACTGATGAAGCTGTGCAAGGAAGAATCCAGGGATAAAATTCCCAGTTAGATATAAGGGACAGAGCAAAATAACCAGCAAGGCCAACTTTATGCCAAGTACTGGTTGTCAAGGCCGGATCTACTTGTTCTTTACACAAGTACATTGTTGGTCTCTGAATTTGGTGGTGTTAAATTTAGGCTGCAGTTGGGCAACACATGTGGCTCAAAGGAGGTGGGCGCCTGCCCCATATACCAGAGGTGGTGGGTTCAAACCTGGCCCTGGCCAAAACTGCAAAAAAAAAAAAAAAAAAATTTTAGGCTGCAACTAGAGCTGTAAAAGCTGGAAGCAGACAGCTGGAAGATGCTATATGAATTCTCATACCTCATTTATGCAGCAGTTACTTACTGAACGCACTTGTAAAGTGACAGGCATAAATTGTAGGCATCATGGGTATGTCAAAACAGGCAAAAATGTTTGCCTTCCTGAATCTTACCTTTTAATCAGTGAAACAAATAATAAATGGGGAATCTTGATATAAAAATATGACAGGAATCAATTTAGGGTGATGTGACACAGAGTGACTGGGTGGTTATTTCAGATCAGGAAATGGGGGAAGACCTTCCTAAGGAGAGGGAGATAATACAGCTATGAAGAGGGTATAGCTAGTGAAGAGTCCAGAGGTGAAAATGGCATGTTCAAGGAAGAATAAGGAGGAAGTTATTGCAACTGGTATATGGTGAGTGAGAGTAAGAGTGGTCCACAGTGAGGTCAGAGGGAGAGATGAATGGGCCAGACCATGTGGGGGCTTTAGGTATAGGTGAAGTGTTCTTTTTTTTAAAGTACAATAGGAACTCCTTGGAGGGTTTTGGGTAGGAGAGTGACATGATATTGTGGCTGAAAGAAAATATAGCAATTATTTGGCCCACTCTCTTTCCAGTCACTTTATTTCAGAAATGAAGAGAATAAGGCCCAGGTATATCAAGGTATACAAACACTGACTCCAACTTTAACTCTTTACATATAACATTATGTCTCACACAAGTGTGCCTACATGGTGGATAAAGGATCTTAAGATGAAGGAAAGACCATCATAGTTTAGGTGATGTTTGATATTAGGATGGGCCAAATGGAATAAGCTATTTGGCTTAACAAACATTTGTTTTAAATGCCACATCAATCTTCATAATGAAAAGCCTTTCAAACGTTCCTATTACATGCATGGTCATTACCTTTAAAGTCATCCATATTTACAAAGCTGACCTTCTCTGAGGGAGAAAAATAGGTCTATTTGTCAAAGTACTGTTATCAAACTCTTAAAAATAAAAGCCCGTCATGATATGTACCTTTGGCTCAGCTCCTCTTTGACTGACATTTATTTCTTCACCACTGGTAAGCTCAAATAAAATTAATGAATTGCAATATTGTGCTCCTTCAGAAGCTTTTTATTTAAATAGCTTGTACTCATCTAAAAGTCTGTACTTGGTAAAGAGCTCTCATGTGTTATCTCATTTGGCTCTTACAGCAATTCCATCAAGAAGGTATCATTAACCCCACTTAATAGATGAGACAATTGAAGTTCAAAGAGGAGGAGATGTGACTTGCTAAAAGTAATTGTGGTGCATTAAAAATAAACACAAGACCTTTAGAGCCTAGTACAGGTGGGCTTGGGTCCCATCTTTGTTGTAAACAAAGTATTTCAAAGTATGAATAAGTTAGGATGTACCTAAGTTAAAGGTAACATAAAATTTAACAATGACTTGAGCCATATTTACATTGGTTTATGGAATGAAGTCTGGAGACAGGCATCTTTCAGTTTGCAGGGAAGGTCAGCAATGTCACCAAGGACCCAGAATCTTTTCATACTTCATCTTGGGCACCTTGATGTTTTGTCCTCATGTTTGTGCCTGCATGTTTGCCTGCACTCAAAGTATCACATCTTTACAGTGCACTCAAAATCAGAAATCAGTGTCAGGGTCAAAATAGCTTTCCTTTTATTAGGGAGAAAGTATTTTCTCAGAAGCTATGAAGCAGATTTCCCCTTATACCTTATGGTCCGGGACTGAGTGATGATATAGCTATCTCTAGCTAGAAGGGAGGATGGGAAGTAAGTAATTGTCAGATGAGAATGACTGACTAAAACCAATCAAGAATACATTTTTGAGGCTGATCATCATGCCACCTATAATGAAATCAATGTTTTGTTAGTAAAGAAGAAGAGCAATGACATTTGAATAAGCAGCTAGGAGCATCACAGACAGACTTTTCTTTAAGTTACTTTTATTTTTTTTTAATTTCACTCATGAATTACAAACATCACTGTAAGTAAATCATTGTAGAAAATTAACACTGTTTCCTCAGGACATTTAAATTAAAGTATTATTGTCATGCTAAATAATGTATACAATTTTAAAATTCTTGAAATATATTAACAGATAACACTTCTGAATTTTTTGTACTGATTTCCATTACAGTTACATTTATTTTCAACAGTTCATAATCCCAGAAGCCTGACCACAAATGAATAATGCATGTCTTCATGATCTATTAATTTTATGCCTTCCTTCATAATATTAAATTATTAATTTATGGGGACTTTATGGTGATTTTTTTTTACTTTTTTCTATTTGATAGAAAAAAATATACCAACCTTTTTCTGTTACTTGTCCATTGGCATTTCCAGTATTATGAGTTATTTCTGATTGGTTCTTTTTCTGAATATTCATTGTTTATTGTTTTTTCTCTACTCATGATAGGCACCTGAGTAGACAAACATATAGCAGAATCCAGAGTGTTTTTTAAATCTTATTCATATATTTAAAAATCAAGCTGGGAATGGTAGCTCACATCTGTAATCTCAGCACTCTGGGAGACTGAAGCAGGAAGACTGTTTGAGGCCAGGAGTTTGAGACCAGCTTGGGGAACATAGTGAGACCATATCTCTATATAATGAATGAATAAATAAATAAAAATTTAAAATAAACATATCTGAGTGTGGTGATATGTTCCTGTAGTCCTAGCTACTTGGGAGGCTGAGGTGAGAGGAGAATCACTTGAGCCTTGGAGTTTGAGGTTGCAGTGAGCTATGATCAAGCCACTGCACTCCAATCAGGGCAACAGAATGAGACCCTGTCTCAAAAAAAAAAATAAAGAAAGAAAGAAAAAGAAGGAAGGAAGGAAGGAAGGAAGGAAGGAAGGAAGGAAGGAAGAAAAATCAGAAATGGTTTTGAATTTTGCTGCATTTTGTCATCACCTATAGAGTTTTTAATGTATTTTCCCTTTGTTATATTAATTTGATGGCACATTAATAAATTCTTAAAATTAAAATATCTTGTGTTCTAAGCATAAATCATTCTTGATTATAGCTTTGAGTTAAATATCCTTTTATGCTTTATAAGTTAATATTTGACTTAGAATATATAATTACTCCCATAGCACTGTCAGCATCAAATTTTGTATTAGCATTGTGTGACCATGGTGAAGTTAAGATCAATGTTTTCTGGTTACAAAAGTGATTAGTAGCAAAAGAATTTGGGGGGCCTGGATCATTTGAAACAATTTCCCTTGCCTCCTAATTAAGAATGAGGATTCTCAATAAATTATATTTCATAATAACTTGATCTTTTTTAAGTTTCTTAAGAAATGATTCACTCACTTATTCAAGAAATGATTCTTAAGGACATTTTATAGTTTTTGCTTTTATTTCAGTATGATAAATCTCTGACTTTTAGTTGGTTTACTTAGCCCCTTTGTATTTAAGATAATTATTAACATTTTATAAGTTAAATCTGCCATTTAATTGTTGGTTTTGTCTGTCTCTTGTTCTTTATTTGTCCTTTCTTATCTTACTGTGGGTTACGTGAACATTTTGCTTAGGATTCTGTCTTTATTTATTTGTGATGTTTTTCAGGGTATTTCTCAGAGGTCAGAGGTTGTTCTGGGAACTATAGAATATACATGTAACTTTCCAGGGTTTACTGTTATCAATAATTTTCTATTTCAAGTGAAGTATGGAAAAGTCACTTTCATTTAGGTTCCCTTTCTCCCCATTTAAATATCATTGTCATGAACAGACATATATATATATACAAGTCATCAGACATAATAATTTTTATTATATTTGTTTAAACATCAAATATGATTCATAAAACTTATGAAGAGTAAAACAGTTCATTTTATATACCAATATTCTTGCTCTTCCAGTGTCTTCCTTTCTGATGCTACAAGACTCCTTTTCTTTGTTTTGTTTTGTTTTTGAAACATGTTCTCACTATGTTGCCTGGGCTGAAGTATGGTGATGTCAATATAGCTTACTGCAAACTCAAAGCACTGGGCTCAAACAATCCTCCTGCTTCTGCTTCCAAAGTGGCTGGGACTATAGGTGTGCACCACCACACCCTTTTTTTTTTTTTTTTTAAAAATCATTTTCCTTCTTCTTCCATTGTAAAAATCATTTCCTCTTAAAGGTATGTCAACTAGCAACAAATTATTTGCTTTTATTTGACTGAGGATTTTGACATTTCTTCTTCATTCCTGAAGGATACGTTCACTGGATGAAGAATTTGCAGTTGACAGTTATTCTCTACTGGCACTTAAAAATGTGTATCACTTACTTTTGGCTTCCATAGCTTCAGATAGAAA